CAGTCGTGGCCCCTGGCGGCCCCCAGGGGACCCCTGGGAGAAGCGGGGCGACCCTGGAGAAGACGCCTCACCCGCCCACCCTGTACGTGCAGCTGCACGGAGAGACCACTCGGCGCCTGGAGGCGGACGAGAAGCCATTGCAGGTCCAAAATGACTACCTCTTCCAGCTGGGATTTGGGGAGCTGTGGAGGGTGCAGGAGGAAGGCATGGACTCGGAAATTGGCTGCCTCATCCGCTTCTATGCAGGTAAGGAACCACCTGCGCTGATGTGAGGGTGCAGACACTTGAGGGACCGGCACAGGACTCCAGTTGCTTGTCTGTGTAGAACTACATTGAGCAATGTTTGAATCTGTGAATTTCAGTCGATCTTGAAGGCGCAGAGGTTGGAGAGTATTGTGGAGGAGGTGGCCCGAGTCACCAGGAAGTGCTGGAAGCACATCCTCCTGTGAGAGGCAATGGCACGTTTAACAATAAAGGTGCCTCCTGCAGGGCTCTTCTCAAGGGCTTGTTGGGTTTCCCAGTTTGGGGTTTCAGGTAAACTATCTCCTGCACGCAATACCAACAGAAATGCTCTATTTCCTTCCATTTGTCTGCAGTTTACCAGTCTAGCTATGTGTCACCATGAGCTCGATCCTTGTCAACTGCTGCCCTTGTTTGTTCAGCTCTGACATTCTGATTTACCCACGGAGCCCTCCTTAGAAACCTGGAAAATATGGCCCTTCCCCCACCCCATACTTTTCTTCACGGTATTTTGCTTTATTTCAGTGTCCTCTGCGAGTTTGAGTCTTGCATCAAAACTATTTGTTTCTCTCATTTATTTCTTCCAGTCTTTGTTGTCAGAACTGACCACTGCAATAGGACTTGTAGTGTTCACAAAGGAATTAGTGTAGTTACTCTCTCTTCAGATGGGCCCTAAAACCCTCCCCAGTTATTTATTTATTTATTTATTTATTTATTTATTTATTTTCAATACCAGATCAAATTCTGGACTAGAGGTGACTAATGTGTGTTTCTCTTTTGGCCAAGTCTTGGCTGGTACTAAATTAGGGAGCTGTAGGTCCTGGTTAATGTATTTGAGCCTCGTAAGTTGCTTGCATCCTTTTCTCCTCTGGTTGAAACATGTCCTTAATGATCAGGGGTTTTATTTAAAATAAAGTTAGCATAGAAAAACTAGAAGAGTTGAATCTTCAACTTCAGATTTTAGATTGTAGGTAGTGGTCTAAAACCAATCAAACTCAACTCCATGAATCTATGGTCATGCTTTCAGTTTAACACTTTTTGTTCTAATTTGTATCCTAGTGGCAGTTTAGTTAGTTTGAATGAAGAAATCATCACCCTCATTGAAATTACAAGACCGAAAGCATTCTTGATGAGATATTCCTAAATTCCATTGAAGTTTTTCTGAAACTATTAAGTATTTCTGATGAATCTGTGCCTAATAAAATGAAGTAATCATACCATGACATTTGCAGTACCCGAAGATAATATCTCAACTGAATGACAATGCCTTTTAAAGTTTATGGCCCAGAAAATTAGGTGATTTTTAATGTAGGAGCAACAACTACATCTTTACTCCTCCAGTTTATGTAATTTGTAAAATACTGTTATTTTATGAAAGCACTAAATGGTAATTACACTCGGAACGTGAATATTTGTTTTGTTAATGTGAGAAAGCTAAATGCCCTTATAACTGGCCTGTGTCAGAGGAAACCTAAAGCAGGGGACATGTTAAATGAACAGTATTTGAATACATTTTGTGTGGAAGAGCTGCATCCCTTCTGTTGGCCATGATTGGGTATGTTGATCATGACAGATGTCTATAAGAAAGGTTTTGGATGTCACAGTCATGAAATTTACATCTTTGATTTCCTTTGATTGTCTCTTCAAGAGTGTCTAAGTGATGCTGAGCAGTCTCCCACCGCCTACTAAATTTGAAAATGACAAGTTATCTTTCGGGTTAAATCTTTGATTTCTGCTTTTGCTCTTTATGATAAGTTGTAATTGTTATCACATTCTGAACTTACTGCTTTATATCTGTATGTGCAGTATAATACATGCGTGCCTCTGCGTACATGCTCCTATAAATAACTACAGTCTGTCCTTAAACCTGAACCAACACACAGTATCCAACTGATTCTTGAATGTGAAGCTCATGTACAGGTGTCCTAGAAGGAGGATGCCCAATTGTTCGTTTCAGAGTTGTCTAATTGCTTATTTGTTTTTTAAACAAAGTTGATCATATTTTAAGTTTAAGTCAGTATGTCAAACTCTCTGCTGGTTTGCTGTAGATGAAAATTGAGTGATGGTGCGTCCCCTTGAACTTTTGCAGAGAAGTTTACTTATTGATGAATAAAAGTGCCTGCTGTCAAATGGTCTCACTTACGGGAACATTATCAGGACGTCATATGTAGTGAAGGTTTACACCAGGCTGGAAGTTTCCTAGAAATTACTTCTGTACTCCAGTGGAAGCTCCAGTGGAATATAGGACAGGCACCTTAACAGGAAGGTGTTATGTTTTGGTAGTAATTATTTTCCTTAGGAAGAGGAAAATTCATGTTTGTTTTAGATGACACCCTTTAAAGGGTGTAGGAAAAATCTGTACCCCATTTGTTTTTATAATCTTACATATAACTTGTCCTTAGATTCATTGCTGTTTGTCCTTTTATTAAGGTGTAGTTGGAGTTAATGATAGCTAGGACGTTGCCTTTTGAATATTTTCCTGTATTTAAATTCAGCTCATTATCTACTGTCTATCTGGTTTATCTAGTCAGCTACTTTTGTTGCGAAGCTCTTGTTCAGAACAGAACTCATTTTCTTAAAGGTTATCTTTAAATTAAATTTAGTATTTAAAACCTCTCTCAGGTAGTTCTCTAAAGGCTTTGAAAACCAGTTGTGATTGCTACAAATATTTAAATATTTATTTAAAGTGGAACGAAAGTTTTTAATGAAGTAGACATCGAATGAAAGGTGCTATCTAATTACAGAGCTGTTAATGCAAACTTAGTTTGAAAACTGTTATTGCTGTTAAACAACCATTTTCTTAGCTGATATAAAATATAAGAAAACTTCAATGACTTTATGCAAAATTACTTAAGTTAGCATTTAAATTCCTTTTAAAAATCTGACATCTTGAATTTTATCTCAAAGAGAGTAATTTTAGGTTAAAAAAGAACTTAGATTACCTAAGATAGTTATGAACTCCTAACTAACCATTATTGAACTTGTGTTTTGGACTCCCTGCGTGTGTCATTGGTCAGGGGCAGTATTAGGCTTTTAAAATATTTTCTGACTTTTTTTTTTTCCTTTTATTACCACCTTTTAGATTTAGTAGTCTAGTTTTTTCAGTCCAAATTATAATGATGAAAAACGTTGTTGGTATAATGAAGAGCACACCCACTGTACCTAATGAATCTTGAACAAGATATTTTTGTGTGTGACTCCATGGGGTTGCTCAGGGTACAATCTCCTTACTCCTCTCAAATTTCTTCTCTTTTTCTCGTCTGGGAATGATCAAACCGTACATGGTTTCCTGCGTGGAAACCAAGAAGGGGTGGTTCAACATTAAGCTGTAATATTGACGAGCAGGTTCTTATTACTATAATTATGGCAGGATTGAATATCATGGTATGAACATGTGACGCCAGTGTGTGCTTTGACAGCCCTTGTAATTTTAAGTACAAAGGTTTACATTTATTTTTGTTTTTCATGTTTTATATTATATTTTATATTTGTTTTGGATGTAAAGTACATTCTTTTTTTTTTTTTTTCCTTTAAAACTGGTTTTATAACGTCTGGAATAAGGTTGGTTTTATTATCTTCAAAAATCTTAAAGGGCTTTCACATAAATTATCTCATTTGTCCTTTCAAAAACAGTATTAGGGAGGAGTCGGTGTCAATCCTCCTTTTACAGGAGAAATTGATGCTCAGATTTGACTCTGGCTTGTGGTTTCTCAGGCTGAGAATAGAGAGCTTGGGTATTCTGTTTTGTAATTCCTGTCACTTTCCATGAATTGATGCCGAATTTCATTTACACTTAAATTTTTCACTTGGTTAAAAGCACTCAGAAAATAGGCTATTTTTGTTGTTGGTAATGAGATGGTATTAACCTCTAAAGTGGTACTCCTTGTGAAATTCGAAGGGTTCTATTTTTATCATGCCGTCTTTAAAAACATAAAGAGACAGGATTGTCACATAGGTAGCTAACACAGAAATGGTACTAAAATATTTTATATCTGTTTGCAGATGATGGTACTTGCATTTACGTGATGTGAAATGACGTTTACATAGTGGTCTTTATTTTCTTATTCGAGCATGCCTCTTTGGTTAAACTATAAATCTTCACTGGGAAATAGAGAATTAACACCTGGAAAATGGGTCATTTGGAGACTGAGGATATGACTATTCAGTTTCTTTAGAACACGCCTTTGAAAGTAGTGAAAATACCCATCATTAAAGATCTTACTTATCTAAAAAAACCTTTTATTTAAACATAGAATTATTTGTACTTTAATGATAAACAGTGCTTTCCTGATGTTAACGATGCTCTGGTGCAGTTTTTATAATGTGTATATTACATAAAGCTAGAGTTGGTCTCTTGGAACTTCATAGTTATTCCTAAAATGGTATCTTCTGCAATCATTGAAATAATTACATGGAGAAGAGGTGGACATGAATTAGTGTGTGTGATGTTGCAAGTTAAAAGTTGTATCCTTGGGGCTGGCAGGCAGCGTGGTGATTAAGGTACTGGGCTCCCACATGGCCAACCACAGTTTGAGTCCCAGACCTGGTGGCTTACTTTCTCACTTTCCCTTTTTCTCTCTCTATGTCTTTCTGGTCAAATTAAGAAATAATAATAAATAAATAAAATAAATAATTATTTAAAAAGAAAGAGAAAGTCGCATCCTTTTTTTGCTCCAAGATTGTCACATTTACCACCTTAAACATTGATGTACGAAGATGATTACTTTTTAAAGTGTACAGTATTTTTCATTTTTCTTCTTCTTAGAACCCTGAATTTAGCTTTTGATTTACTGGTAACATCACATTCACTGACATCGTATATAATCCAAGCATAGTATAATACCTGGTATTTTAATTCAACATTTGTTGAATTGAATCTGTGGAATTTTATTAGGCAGCTGGTGGTGTATGCCCTGATTCCTCCATCCTGTTTGGGTCCCCAGGGATGTGTTAAACACACATATACACAGAGGCATTTCTCCCATGGCAGGAGATTTTAGATGTGC